GTATGTATTTCATGGTAATTTGATAGAGTTGAATCAAAAATTAAAAAGCCCTCATTATTGAGGACAAAAACATCGCAAGCAGGCTATTTTCCTAATTTCTGAATCAAGTATTATAAAATTAGAATCTAAAGTGATTTCCTCTTTCCTGAAGTGTTAGGCCCCACAAATGAGTTCTGTCACTGACATTACAAAAACCCTATCTTAGAGTTGTCAGTATATGGTATGTAGTGCTTTGTTTGCCCATTCTTTCCACTTGCCTAGCAAACATGCTGCAACACATCTTTCAGCCATTTGTGGTCCTTTTTCTTATGAACACCTTGAATTAATCATTTTATCAAAAGGTAGTTTCATTTGTTTTAAGAATTTATATTTTGTCACCCAGCTTTTGAAGGTTTTCTAATCTTAACCTTAGACTACATAAGTTTGGGGCTATGTTCGCACATCCCATTTTGTGGCCTGGTGTTGATCTTCTTAATTGGAATAATATTACTACCTATAGTATGAAAAATCAGATACATTTCTCTTGTTTGTAAAATTGTGGATTTATCCAAGAACTGTCATTCTGTATATAAATCACTGAGGAAAAGTCTAGCCTAGCATAGTTCTCTACTTCAGGGATGCCATTGATCTTAGCTTGAAAAGTAAGTAGGTCAGAGTTGAGCTGTAGTGGATTTTTGTATGATTACCTGATATACCTGATGTAGCGGTTCGAGACAGTCATTTATATATTGGTAAATCATTAAAAAGTCAAATGTAAAAATCATGTCATGTTGATAAGATTATAAGTAGTTAAGCATGTGGACTTTGGGCTAGCATAACTGTGTATGTGATTTCTGCATCTGCCTTTAAGTTGAGAGTCTTTGGTTAAGGGTTGCAGGAAACAGTTCCTTAGTCGTCACAATGGGATGTCATTTTTATAGAGTTACTGGTTAGGAATTGTAGAATTCAAGCTCTTAGTACTAAGAGTTCTTGTTTTTGTACGTTCTGGATATTCTCTGAAACAACCATACTTTTATGCTGATGATTAGTTCTCATTTAATTTGGATAATATTGCTTGTTTTTGAGCATTTAATCCTAGTATGTGCCACTTCACATGTCGTTAAAAATTAGTTTGAAGTAACACCACAATTTAGATTTAGACTTCCCCCAAGCTTTTGATACAGATGATTATAATTTTCAGGACAAGGGAAGTACAGAAAAGTAAAACAAAAATGTCAGAATTCCACAATCCATTTAAAGTGTTTCTATTGACCCTGACCTATTTCTTCTCAGTTGTTTTTTAAAACAACAAATGCATGTGTGTTATTTTTTGAACAACAATAGTCTTACATGTTTAATAATGAACTGACAACATTTTGGGCTGTACCAGTTTGTTGCTTCTAAAGTTCATAGCGGTGTTTTATTAGCTTTCTTTGTACATCAATGTTTATATAAAATTTAAAAGAGATTTTTATTAATCCCAGCACTTGGGGGGCAGAGGCAGGCGGATCTCACTATTCTGGAGGGTGAGGCAGGAAGATCCCCAAATTCCAGCCCACCTTGTTGCTACATAGTAGGTTTAAGGGCAGTCAGGGTTACAACATGTCTCACTCTCCCCCCAGAAATTTAAAAAATAAATTTAAGCAGTTAATTCTAGTGATTAAGATACAGTGGTTTAAATATAAAGTTGTGGTTATTAGAATAAAACTAGATTGTGAAAAGGCAAATCTTTAGTCCAAACTTTGAAAAAAAAATTTATCGTTGGGTGTGCATAATGTGTGTGTATGGTGCATATGCTATGGTATATGTGTGGAGGTTGAAAGACAGCTTTGTAGAGTCACTTCTTCTACCTTTACATGGGCTACAGAGATAAAACTTGGGTTGTGTGGCAAGCACCCTCATCTGCTGAGTCATCTAGATGCTCCTCTCCCCATGTGCTTTTGTTTTTGTCTTACTGAGACAGGGTCTCCCTGTAGCCCCACCTTGCCTGGAACTATGTAGGCCAGGCTGGCCAGGCTGGCCTTGAGCTCATGGAAGACCCGGGTTCAAATCCCAGCACCCACATGGCAGCTAACAACTGTCTGTAACTCCAGTTCCAGGGGATCCGACGGCTTCTGTCTTCCTCGAGCATTTCACAATACGGGTGCACTTACCTACACGCATACACATAAAACAAAAAAATAATAAATAAAAAAAATTGTGTATCTGCATGTGGGTTTTGTGTTGGTGGGAGTTCAGGTGCCCTCATAGTCTGGAAAAGGGTATCTGATTCCTGGAGCTGGAATCAGAGACAGTTATGAACTTCTTCTCAGTGTAGGTCCTAGGAACCCAGCTCAGGTCTCGTGGAAGAACGGTATGTACCATTAACAGCTACAGTCTCTCCAGCCCTGAAACAATGGGTTTGTAAAGTGTCTTGGTAGAGATCTCATGATGGGAATGATGGTAATAGCAACTACCATAGTAGCACTAGTGATGTGTTCTACACACGTTTGTTTTGTTTCTGTTGAGATAGGGTCTTTCTGTAGCCCCAAGCTGACCTAAAACTTGCTTTGTATGTAGACTTGGCTAGCTTCAGTCTTACAGATCTTCCTGCCTCTGCCTCCACCTCTTGAGTGCTAAAAGTAAAGGCATGCAACATTGAGCCTGGTGTGTTTTATTCCTAAAAAAATTATTATACTTTTTTTTTTCAGTTGAGTCATAGAAACTGAGCAGGTATAAAATATATTTAATGTAGAAGCTCAGTTTGATGAAGGCAGTTTACAGTCAAGACTTGATTCTAGACTTCTTGACTTTATAGTCTGAGAATCCTGTCATACATAGTCCACTTGATCCAGATGATGAAATACTTAGAGGAGGGTATAAAGTACTTAAGATTGAAGAGTATTCATTCCATTTACCATGGTAAATGGTAGATTTCCCTTTCAGAAATTTTGGATTAATTCAGTTTTGATCTGCTGTTTTCTTCCAGACCTTCTCTACCTTTGTGTAGTCTCCTTCTGGTTGCTTTCCTGTTCTTCTCCCAAATCAAGATCACCTCTTAGCTCCCTGTCTCTCCCCCTCTTTTTTTTCTTTCTCTCGCTCACCAGGGCATCTTTATGAAGCCGGGGCTAGCTTCACACTCTTGAGTTCTCCTGCCTTTGCCTCCTGAGTGCCGAGATCACTGGCATATACCACCATGCTTTGCTTAGTAACTCAATCTTTTCTAGAGAAGAATAATTTGCATTCATTCCTAAGATAAAAGAAAATAGTCTTTCCTGATTGTTTCCTCTTTTTCTTACATCTTTCATTGCAGTCTGTAAATTGACCTAGACCTCTTGCTCCTTTACTTTTCTTTTTCCCTTTTCCCCCGAGTTTTTGTATGATAGCTGATCTGTTCCTCTTTTCTGTTCTTTTTCTTCCTTAGGAAAAAGTCCCTCCCACTGCTTCTCTCTTGACTTGCTCACAGGGACACAACTAGCCTTTCCACTTCTAGCACAGGTATTTGTAGGCTCCCTTCCCTCTGTGCCATGCAGTATCATTTTAACTGTACTGTGTGCTTGCACCTGTTTTCTCAATGGGCAGTGGCGGGATTAAATTCACTTTGATGGAAGTTTTGCTTAAAGAGTGTAGGAGTGATCGTTTCTTTAGTATTCTTATTGGAAAAACACTGTTTCTGACCAATACAGAGTTTGGAAACTTCAGGAAAGTAAGATCATTTTAGTTTTACCACTTAGCTAATCATAATTCCATTCGTGTCTTTTTCTGTAATAACCTTTTGTGTGTATTTCTGAATTGAATTGGTAGAAGTGATGGATGGAGCACAGCAGCCAGTTGCTGTCATTGGATGCATTTTCCTGAATTCTTTAATACTCTTCCATGAGAAAATTTGAAGTAGCTTCATGACTTGATTTGGAATCCTGTGATCAAATTTAAGATTCTAGTTCATTGTATGTCCTTTACCCATTGTGTGTCCTGTTCCTTCATCACTCACAGTTTTTTGTTTGCTATTAAAAAATGCACATTTGTTTGAGGTTCTGATTTTATTAAATAAATTCCTAAAAATGGATTTATAGGCTCTAAGGGTATGAATATTTTATTGATGTTAACAGTTTGCTAAATTAACAAATTGTTTTTTCAAAACAATTGGTCTAATTTATAATCCTAATACATTGTGAGAGAGAGTTCCCATTTATCAAAATCCTAAGTAATAGAGCATAAGATTATTTTGGGACAGTATCTTATTAGATTGAGGCCTTTCTTGAATTTGTTGTTCAGCTGAGCCTCCCTGATTATGCAGTGCTGGGGATTGAAGCCAGAGCCTCAGGCTTGTTTGGAAAGCACTCTGTCAACCAAGCTACATTTCTGACTGAAATAGTAATTTTTGAAAGTTTGCAAAAAACGATTCCTTTGGCAAAACTTAGCCTGTTGGATTATTGTAGAGTTCAAAATCTTGCTCTATTATGGCAAGGCTTCATTGGATGTTAAATGGCCATTGTTTTGATTTCAAAGATTCTTGTTCTCGAATTAGAGCTGTTCATGGAAGGGGTATTATTTCACTGACCTTGACAAATACATTTTTCCTTGTTTATTTTTATGTTTTGTGTTAATGTATAGAAATTTAGTTATCTAGTCTGTTGAGTTCTCTTATGGCTCCAGTTTTACATTTGGCTATGATGTATTACAAAATTTGGACTGGTTTGAGAAGTACTTGAATTGATTCTAGCCTACTCTTATAAATTGGTTCTACCAAAGTTTTAGTAATTTACATTTAATATAGTTGTCAGAGCTTTTTAGTAAGACTTTAGAGTTGTCTTTTTTTTTCTTTTTTCTTTTTGGGGCAAGATGTTACTATGTAGCCCCCGCTGGCCTGGAACTCACTAAGTAGAGCAGGCTGACCTCAAACTCAGAGATCCACTTGACTCTGCTTCCTACTCTGTAGTGTTGAGATCAAAGTTATGTGGTACTAGACCTAACTAATCATGTCTTATGGTGAGAGTTTGGTTTCAGATTTTTCTTAACAGCAAATGATGATTCTCTGAACG